ATCCATTTACCTGCAAATTTCATTATTTCATCTTTCTTTACTGCTGAATAGAATGCCATTGTGTAAATACGCCACATTTTTGTTAATGACTCGTCTGTTGAGGGACACTTAGGTTGCTTCCATCTCTTAGCTGTTGTGAAAAGAGCAGCAACAAACGTGGTTGAACAAGTGTCTCTACAATAGGATGAGTCTTTGGGTATATGCCAAGGAGTGGTATAACCGGGTCATATGGTAGGTTCATTTTTAGTTTTTAAAGAGTTCTCCACACTGTTTTCCATAAATGCTACATGAGTTTGCAATCCCACCAGCAATGACTGAGCGTTCCCTTTCTCTCTTTTAGGGCAGAGACTACACAGTAACTACACTAAGATAAATAATCTGATTGCACAAAGCCAAAGTTACTAGGTACAGACAAGAAGGGCAAGAGAAGTCATTCCTTAGACCCTTTGAATCGATGAGCTAAAAAGTCAGGAGGTCTGAAATTTAAGTACCAACAGAGACAATAGGACAGAGAAGACTTGAAGGTAGAATTTCTAGGCAAAATTAGTGAGTGTGATGTAGAACAAGTGGACCCAGATATACATTGAATAACTTAATCCTCAGTAGAAAGACTGTGATACCTTAAACTGAATCAGAGTCAAAATTTGAGATTGTTTTGAAATGGAATGAAATGAAAGTTTTAGTATATAAATCTGATTAAAACTGACAGAATTTTGAGTATAAAACCATGTAAGGTTTAAGAACAGATAAAGAAAAACCTGTCAACAGGCCTTGTGTCCCTTGTGTGTTGTCTCACCTCCTTGGGAGTCTGAGGAGGGAGATTCTTTGAGGTCCTGAGCTCTAGACCAGATGGATAGTATAGCAAGACTTGTCTTAAAAAACAAAGAACAAAACAAAACATGAAATGTCCAGGTGAGTTAATTAGAATTACCTGAAAAGCTTAAACAAAAGCAGCCTGAACCCTACTCCAGGCTAATAAAATATTCTTATTCATCTGGGCATGTAAGCTTGAAGTTATCTAGTAGATCAACTTGTCTTTCAAAATGTCTACAGTCAGTCTCTCTGAAATACTACCAGTAGACATTAGTTCTTTATCAATATGTACCCCAATTATTATACCTGGCCTCAGCAGCTCATGTGCAATCTCCTCTTGCTGCCATATTCTGTCATCATAGCATATCTCTACTCCAAAACTTAAAAGATGCCTTGTTGCTTATGAGATGATGTAGTTAAAATGATCTTGGCTTATCATTTGAGGCAATATGTAAATCTCACCTCAAACTACCTTTACACTGTTCTCTAGGATTCAGCCAGACTAGTCTACTCACAGTTGCTCAGAACATGCACATTCCTCCTCATGTCTTCACATACTATGTTTTGCAAAATCCTGACCATTATAACAGTAAACCAGCTTTTCTTCAATCATGTAAATTTCACCCACCTATTTTTTCAATTTTTATTATTATTATGTGTGTATATGTACAATGGGAAGAGGGGAGTGCCGCGGCATGTGTATGGAGGTCAGAGAACAACTTGTGGAGTCCCTACCTTTATGTGTATTCAGGAATTAAACTCAAGTTTCCTGATTTGTATAACAGAAGTTATTTACCTGCTGAGCCCTCTCTGGCCCTCACCATCTATTTTTGACCCAGCTCAAATCTTACCCCTTGCATGCATTTCCTCAGCTTCTTTAAGTACAACTGATTTTTAGCATACGTGAACTTCTAGAAAGCCAAATAATTAATTATACTATTATTTTGTTATTTTTCACATTGGTATACATAATGTAGTCTCTCTTTTTTTAGTCTTTTTGAGACAGAGTGTCCCAGTAGCCCCAGCTGGCCTGGAACTCACTATGTAGACCAGGCTGGCCTCGAACTCAGAGATCCACCTGCCTCTGCCTCCTAAGTGCTGCGATTAAAAGCATGTGCCCCTATGCCCAGCACATAATATATTCTTATACTATTTAAATCTCATAATCTTCATATGTATTACTTTTTATTTTCCATGTACTTTACATAAGATGCTAATAACAATAAGGTTTATTAGTAATGGTAACTTAAAATCTAGAGAATTTACAGAGCACAGTAATCTCCTGAGCCCCCATAGTGATTACACAGGGGTTTGCTTTATCTAGTTGCAAACTATTCCAAGAAAATTCTGCCATTGTTATTACTCTATATTTTTAGGTTAGTCCAAGAGGTATTAAAAATCTATTGTTTTGCTCAGAAACTCCATACATATATAAGGACCTCTAGCACTTGGAATAGCATTAAGGGATATGCATTTGAGGGCCAGTGTCTATATTTTGAGGCCCTGGAAACAATGCCAATATCAGCTAAAGATGCTGCTGTTTCTCTTCAAGCCAATTCAGTAGATAAGCAGATATGCTGATGAGTCTTAGGGGGGAAAGGAGGGAAAGTCCCCTTGCCATTTATCT